GCCTGTGTGAAACGTGTCCTTTGGGTCATGCATTCATCCTTCCGGTTTCCACAAGGAGTCCCGCCCTCCACCACCCTCCTTCACGACTCTGGCCTTAACTGGGCTCCAGGAATAGAGTTCCTCCCGCAGTCCTAGGGGCACCCCTTGTCTGCTCCTTTAACCATGGCCATGTCACTGTAGTTAGTCCCTCTATTGAGTCCTATTCATTTGGACCATCCGAGTTGAACTGGCTTCCTGTTAGGATGCTGATTGATACAATTTCCTTACCTAAGTTGACCCCCATATAATGAGAAATATCATGAAAATCAAAAAGAGCAACACCCCCGATCACACCCACAAGCACTTTAGTTAGACAACTATTATTTTCTTTTGAGTAGACCATTTTCAGCCCAACTCTTAGGAGGCAGTGGCAGATAGCGGGATGCCCAGATCTGAAGTCAGTTTCACCCCTGCCAGCAAATGACTGTGTCATCTTTGTTTTTTTTTTTTTTGACTGTGTCATCTTGTGCAACAATAATTAAGGCTAATGGACACTCACCACGTGCTAAGTGTTATCTCAGATCATCTCTCTTAGTCCTCACACAGCCCCACGTCTTAGGAGGTGGGTATTCTTTCTACTCCCCTCTTACAAATGCAAAAACAAGAACAAAACAACAAACAAACAAAACTCTGAGACTCAGAAAGTTAAACAATTGCCTGAAGTCACATAAGGAGCAAGATGGCAAAGTGAACTTAAATCCCAGCAGTCTGGCTCCAAACGCAGCCTGTCTCACCTTTACCTGTGTTAACTTTCTCCCAAGTTAATTTCCAACCTACCTTTCCTAATCAGCGAACAGGACTTTTATTTAACCACCTCGCAGAGTTGCTGGGAGGATTAAATGACATCAAATACAGGCAGTACCGAGCACCTGCGGTACTTATTGCCTGCTAGTCGCTTGACATCTCCCGACTTAGGAGATCCAGACCGAGTAGGGAAAATAGCCTGAAACCAGGTCCCAGAAAATCAAGTTCTCAGGGAGGCGCCCCGCCCAGGGGTTCACAACGAACCCCGGGATGCCAGCGATTTCCCACACGTTCGTCTGGGAACTCTGATTTCAATCTTGCAGCTCCAACAGAATTACACCCATAATTGTGCATGGGACTTTTTGTAAAATTGCGAAGCGAGCGCGCGAGGCTCGAGTCCGATGCTTTTCGCCGAACGCCTGAGTGTGCGGCCGCCCGAGGCCCGGACACCAGCTACTGGCGCCCCCCTCCAGCCCGGGGGAGCACGGCGCCCTTCTCCTTCTGGAAGCCAAAGTTCGGGATTGAATTACACGCAATTACACTTACAGGTCGCGGAGGGTGGGGGCGGTTGGAGGTGGGGCTGGCCGGCACGGGGAGACTTCGCGCCCCTTGGGCTCCACCCCGAGGGAACTCGAGGGGCACCGTCCCCCGCGGGCGCCCGGCAGACGCCTCGGCTTCGGGACTCCATCTAGGTCTTTCCTTCCCTTCCCTCCCGCAGCTGCAGTTCCCGGGGGACGACAAGCATCTCCATTCCGGCACCCGGCGCGCGGCCCGGCCGAGGGCGACCCCAGCTTACCCAGCAGGGTCTCCAGGACGATCTCGCGCCACAGGGAGGCCATCGCCGCGCCGTGCCGCGGGGCGGCGCTTTCCAGGAAAGCCGCGCGGGCCGGGTCCCCTCCCGAGTCCGCCGCCAGCCCGCCAGCCCACGTGCCGAGCCGAGGCGGGGTGTGGCCGCCCGACCGCGCCGGTCCCCACCACGCCCATCCCGGCCTGCCCGGGCCGGGCCGGGCCGGGCGGGCACCACCTGTGCGCGCTGCGCCGCTTTCGCAACGGGGCGTCGGCCCGAGCCCCGGAGTCACCTGGGGCCGGACGACTCTGCCCACGCGCCGCAGACTGCGGGGGACAGGAGTCCCAGCGGGAGGCCCTGGGGGCTCGGACCCCGCCAGCGGGCCCCAATCGGGTCGCCCGGCCCGCTCGGGGTGGAGCCGTGCGGGCGCCCGGAGGAACAGGTCCCAGCCCAGACCGGCGGTGTCCTCGCTGAACCGGGCCCGCCGGTGCGTGGCGAGGGGAGGGCGGAGGGGAGAGGGCCTTGCGGGGTCGCTCCCGCAAAGCTGACCTTGGCGATCTCCAGACCCGCGGGCCGGGAGAGAGCCACGGACTGCGCCGCTCTGTCGCACCTGTGACAGTGAAAACGCAGTTTGCTCATTGCATCCTGGAAGGAGCGGCCGGAAATTGTAGCGGCTGCAGGATTTTCTCAGGACAGAGAAAACAACTGATGCGGGTGGACACTCTGTGCCCCCAACTTTGTGAATGCTGATAGTCGAGAGTGCCCGTCCCTAAGCGGAAGGTGGGAGGCGCTCTAATCCATGTCGCCAGCGAGCTAGGCCACTTATGAATATTTCTCGCTCGAATGTATCACGGCCCAGGATGTCTTGGACTTTTTTTTTAGAACTCCTCAGAGCAATTTATTTTAATTCACTTTAATTTTTTTTTAGAAGAGTTTATCATTTATCATACCTGGAAAGTTTGCACGAAAAGCAAACACCAATGAGATGCGGTGCCTTAAAAGTATGAGAATCACATGAAAAGCAATGATTGCTAAGTCCATAGCAGTTTTAAGCAAAGAATTATGAATCAATTATTTACTAGTATGCTCAGTCACAAAGGTAGACTTAATAGAGCACAGGAACAGAATTGAGAGATTAGAATAAATCCTTATTTTGGGTCTAAAGATCTTTACAAGCTTGCCAAGACTGTTACGCGAAGGAAAAGAGGAATCTTTTCAACAAATAATTCTGTGACAACTAACTATCCATGTGCAAAAGGATAAAGTTGGATCTTTATGTCACACCACATATAAAAATGTACTCAAAATGGATCAAAGACCTATATATAGAAGATAAAACTATAAAACCCTTAAAAGAAAACGTAGAAGTAAATGTTCATGATCTTGAGTTAGACAATGGGTTCTTAGATGCAACACCCAAAGCACAAAAGAAATAATAGATAAATTAGACTTCATCAAAATTAAAAGCTTTTTGCTTCAAAAAACTCCATCAAGAAAAGAGGACAAGGCACACAATGGGAGGGAAATATTTTTAACTCTTGCATCTGCCACACCGCATTGACTTCTATTGCTGTTGCCGTGCGGCTTTCTCAGCATTCTCCCTTGGTCTTTGGAAAATGTCTCCTAGTGTTCAGAAGTTCCTGGACTACTTTGCGAAAAGAAAGGTCATTTTAGGAAGGCTATTGGTGACATTGATTGCTTTTTTAGCAAGAAAACAGGGCGGGGCGGGGAATCAGATGATCTCGTCCCATCCTTCTATCTCTGACTTCTTAGGATCCCGCACGTATCTGAACGTCTCTTGGAAAACATTCTAGCTATTGGGTGCCATTTTTCTTCGAGTATACGATTGTATCAATTTGTTAGACATCTCGAATCATAGCGGGCAGTAGTTTTGAATGAACCACTCTTCCGTTAACAAGATGGAAACTTTGTGTCACCTGGCAAACCCTGCGGTGTTCTCTCGCTCGGCACCTTGGCACATCGACGTCACAGCTCTCTTCTCTGCTGCTCTCAGTTGGCCTCAAAATCCTTCTAATGACTGGCTAAACAAAACGCGGTATATCTATACCACGGAATATTATTCAGCCACAAGAAAGAATATAATACTGACACATGCTACAACATGGTGGACTTGTGAAAACGTGAAGGTAAGCGAAAGAAGCCAGACGCAAAAGGTCACATGTTGTATAATGTCATTTGTGTAAAATATCCAGGATAGGTAAATCCACAGATACAGAAAGCAGACTGGTGGTTACCAGGGGAGCAAGTAAAATGGGGGGTGACTGCTCAATGGGTAAGGGTTTCTTTTTGGAGGTGATGAAAATGTCCTGGAATTAGATGGTAATAAATGCGAATATAAAAGCCATTCCATTATACACTTTTATGGTGTGCGAATGATATGTTAATTTTAAAAAGAAGAAACAAATGTTCAAAGCAGCATTATTCGTAATAGCTAAAAAGTGGAAACAACTCAAATGTGTAACAGCTGAGTAATGAATAAATAAAACATGATAAATGCATATAACAGAATATTATTCTACAATAAAAAGGAATGAAGTACTGATATATACTATGATGTGGACGAACCTTGAAAATATTGTGCTGAGTGAAAGAAGCCAGTCACAAAAAACTGTGTATCATAGGATTCCATATTACATGAAATGTTCAGAAGAGACAAACTGACAGTGATAGAGGGTAGATTAGTGGTTGCCTAGGGCTGCAGGGGCAGGGGGAGAAGGAAAGGGGATTAATGAGTACTGTTTCTTTCAGAGGGGGATGAAAACGTTCTAAAATCAAATTACGACAACGGTTGCACAACTCTGTCAATATACTAAAAACGTTGCATTGTGCATGTTAAATGGGCGAGTCGTATGGTGTGTGAATTATATCTCAATAAGGTTGTTTTAAAATGCAATTCATTCTAGTTATAGATTTTTTATATGTTTTGGTTGGGGTTACAGTCATTTCGTATCAGGCATTCCTCAGTGTGTGAAGGACTCCAGTGATTAAAAACGTCAGACACTGCATTTTCCTTCCTTGTTATCCATATATGTTTATTTTCCATGCACTCATAAAAAGCATCTCATTCAGGGCTGTGTGTACCTAGCATGTGCTTTGTAAAGTTTGTTCCTTTGCAAAGCTAAATAGTAGGAAAAACTTTACTTCTACTAAAGATGCAGCATGTTTTCTCCTCCACTCAGAGCGCACTTTTTGGTCTTAGTATTGTTCCTCCCTCTTTAACAGTTTCATCACAGCTAACTTCAAGAGAATCTGGCAAATGCAATCTAGCTGGGAGCCCAGAAAGGGAAAGAAACCAAGTTTTAGTGAGCAGCTGTCCATCTCTTCTACAAAAAACTACTTTATATATAGGGGTGTTTTGAGGTTTAAATAGATCAAGCACTAACTAAACTGGGTGTGGTGGCTCATGCCTGTAATCCTAGCACTCTGGGAGGCCAAGGCGTGAGGATCGCTTGAGCTCAGGAGTTCGAGACCAGCCAGAGCAAAAGCGAGACCCCGTCTCTACTAAAAATAGAAAAATTAGCCAGGAGTCGTGGCACACACCTGCAATCCCAGCTACTCGGGAGGCTGAGGCAGGAGGATCGCTTGAGCCCAGGAGTTTGAGGTTGCTATGAGCTAGGCTGATGCCACAGCACTCTAGCCTGGGCAACAGAGTGAGACTCTGTCTCAAAGAAAAATAAAAAATAAATAAATAGATCAAGTACTAAAGCACTCGGTACAGCACCTTTGGTAGTCGCAGTATTCAGGAAATGGTAACTTGGATTGTTATTTGTGTGTCCTCCCCCTTAATGTTT